TTCTTCTAGAGAAAATCAATACATACTTGTTGTAATAGAATATGGGAGCAAGTAGGTAGAAGCTATAGGTATGTCAATCAAATGATGGTAATACTATGATCCAGCTTTTTAAGAAGAACATCTTTACTAGATTTGGCATTTCTAGAGCCATTATCACTTATGAGGGTACTCATTTCAACAACAAGCAATTTAAAGCTCTCTTATCAAAGTATGGAGTCCTCTATCAAATGTCCCTTGCTTATCACTCGCAAACCAATAATCTCTGTGAGCTGACTAATAGAGAGATCATGTAGATACTTGAGAAGACAGTGGGTCCTACTAGAAAAGATTAGATGAACAAGCTTGATGATGCTTTATGGGCCTACGGTATAGCCTTTCAAACTTCAATTGGAATGTCATCATACCATTTGGGTTTTAAGAAGGCACACCACTTGCTTATTGAATTAGAGCATAAATTTTGATGGGTGATTAAATAACTGAATATGAACCCTAAGAAAGCTAGTAGTTTAAGGATATTGTAATTAAATGAGTTCAAAGAGTTTAAACTCCATGCTTTTGAAAGTATAAAACTTTATAAGGTGAGGACTAAGAGATGGTATAATTAACATATCTTGCATCAGACTTTTGAGTCAAGACAATTGGTACTTCTCTTCAATTGAAGTTTAAAGTTGTTCCCTGAAAAGATGAAATCTTGATGGTCCACTCCTTTTAAAGTGCTTTTTGTAGCACCATATGGAACAGTTGAAGTTATTGATAAAAGAATGGGTAGATCTTTCAAAGTTAACGGATAAAGACTCAAGCATTATAGGGGAGGTGAAATATAGTGATTGAAGTTTACTGTCCACTTGATTGATCCACCTTTATGATTTGAGAGAGTCTAGCTGAGGACTATAAAGCAAGTGCTTTTTAGGAGGCCACCCAAGTTTTATTTTTCTTTTACTTGTGCTTTTAGTTTTTTTTTTGTTTTAGTTGTCTTTGATCGATCTTATTTTATTTGGTGTGTTTGAAGGTTGCAGGGTTCTTGAAGAATTTGGAAGCTTAACGTCAAGTTTTAGAAATCAAGGAGCATGCCAACAACATTTTGGAAAAGTGCCCTTTCTTTGTGCTCTATTGTTGATAATTTCTTTGCACTTTTACATACTCAATGCCTTATGTTGATGAGTGATTGGATTGAAAGTTGTCAATTAAATGTTAGGAGGTGTGGAAGAGGGTATGATATAATGGCTATGTTGATTGAGAGGTGTTTAGGCTATTTTCTTTTTGGACATTTGCTTTGCTTGTGTATTTTTCTAAAGTTGTGAGTGTTTTTTGTTTCGAAAGAATGATAATAAAGTTTCAAAAATATGAATTAAAGACAATTAAGTTCCTGATAAAATTTTCTATGAAATTAAATTGTAAATAATAATTCAAACAGTAATAAATAGAAATCAAAATTACAAACAAATTGTTATATTCAAAATTTAAATGTCATATTTGCAATTAGATCTTTTACTCTTACAACTATTTGAATTAATATTTATGATTGAATTTTCTAAAAATTTTATTAGGTACCTAATTGTCATTAATTTTCTCTTTTGGGACTTAACTGTTATTCTCCCTTTTGTTTTCTGTTATGTTCGCCCCAGTGAAAGGATATTATGCTCCAATAAATGTCTCTCTATATTTTTGTCCAAAATCCTAAAGAGTACCTTCGCCAAAGCAAAATCCCATTTGTCTCTAGCACTAGTTGCTTCTGTGACTTTCCAACAAAATTATAGAGAGCACTTTCTCTGCAGCAAAATCATGTTTTGCCCCAGTGAAATATGCTTATGTGTTTTTTTTCAAAATGTATTACATTTTGGGACATTGAATTTCCTTTAAAAATATCTTATAATTTAAGATAGAGAGAATAGTTCATTATAATAAAAAATCTTAAAAATGGTCAATTTTATATAAAAATTTAATAATTTTTTAATTTTAGTCATATTAAATATAGATGCATTAATAACATACTCCCTTTGGTCTCTAAGGGCATCTTCTAGAAGCATTTTTTGGTCATTGATATAAGGCATATTATGGGGTATTAGTTATGTTTTTCCAACATTACTCATATTTAATTTCATAAATTATGAGAGATAATGTAATGCAAATTTAAAATTTTTTAATTTAAATAGGGGTAAAATTAGAGGTTTATATATTTTCATGCAAATTTAATAGCTTATAATAGGGATTGGAGGGAGATTAAAAATCTTCTCTCTATCTTTCTTTAAGCATCATTTCAGAGTTCAATTCTTAAAGATTAGAAGTGTATATAGAGAGTATTATTTGAGAAAGGACAACCTCTTAAATACCACTTAGATTCCTTGAAAGATTAGTCTCATGGCTACCGTATGGAGATATTTTTTGGGGGAAAAATCTCTCTTTTCACACATCCAAGGCCAAGAAACTTGTAAGAAGCTTTCAAATCCCAAAATAACATCATGAATAGTCGATATTATTCACGCAGCAAAGGCTAAGAAACCGGCAAGAAGCTTCCTAATCCATAATAGTCACTCGTGTCAACGGTCAACTAAAACAATCCGTTTGGATGCTTCAATCCTGTTTCCCACACACGCATACAAATTCCAACTAAACTAATGAATTCTAAAACTATTCCCTTATTTCATCACCTGAATTTATAGGCCACTGGATTATGAGTATAGTTTATAACATTGATTTAGTATTAACAAAGATCTTCACATTGTGTTGACATGCATTAGCAACAACTGATCTATCTCTCTCTCTCTCCTACTTCATCCATGTAACTTAATCATAATAATCTTTTCTTCGATCTGGAAATGTGATGTGACTCTAACTTGCGTAGTGAGGTAGCTTACGGCTCTCAACAAATCAATGTTTAAGAATAACGTCAATATAATCAAAATGGGTCTCAAAATTAGGAAAATGACAGTTAGATCCTAAATGAATTAATTAATTACTGTAACCATTATGACCGTAAAATTATCCTTTACATAATAGTTATGATCAAAACTAAAATGCCTTTTGGCCATATAATAATGTAATCAAATATGTGATATAACAAGAAAAGTAACAATCAAAATAGAACTCTTATATATACCTAGATTGAATGGATAAAGCTTCTTCAAAGTACCTCATATATATATATATATACACACACACTTATGCATGCAACTCAACGAGTTAAAGAAGACTTCATCACACAACTAGGGTCAAATCAACTTGTTCGTGTGATAATAAGAGTTAGTTAATGGGAAAGAAACTAGGTTCTACCGCTCATACTTTTAAATTTATCAAAATTGAATTCGTTAATGTTCAAAAAATATAAATGAATAATAATAATGACTAAATAGACCAAACCATTAAATTTAAGTACGAAAATGCAATACCCTTTAACAGAATTAATGATGCGTGAACTGAATATGTGCAAGATAAACAGCCTCGTGAGTAAGAACAGGATAAAGTGACTTAATAAAAACTTAGCATTCAATTTTTTTTAGATTACAACTCTATGCTTCTATGGGCCTTTTCAGAGGGAGGGCCCGTATGGACTATGTTGAAGCAATTCATCAAATAATCAGACAAGATCTGGATCATCATTCCTAAAAGGAAGTGATTGATTATGCTAGGTTCCCGTTATTTAGCGATAGTTTTGTTTTTCTTAGAGTTTATGTCTAGAAATTAATTAACTCTTGTGCTCATTTACTTGCTAGCCAGGCTTTTGTTAGTATTGGTCTTTTTGGCTTATATGATCAACTCCCACTCTCTTGTATTGAGGTGGTGAATGATGATAAGAAACATGCAGCTCTTGAGACCTGATGTGTACTCCTTTTGCGTAATGTTATCCAACATCCAGCATTTATAAAAAAAAAAAAAATGTAGGGACTAGTTGAAATTGAGAAGGCAATTGCATCGTGGACTTGAAGTCAGCACTCAGCGTCAACAACGGGCTGCTTCAGTGATCAAAATAAAATAATGGGCTGCTTTAGTGATCGAAATAAAATAATGGGCTGCTTTAGTGATCAAATAAAATAATGGGCTGCGTTATTGATCAGAAGAAATAATGGGCTGCTCTTCGTCAATGCGTTCACACCGTGTCTCTTGACGGAATGGCGTAGTTGACGCGTGCAAGAAATAAAATCACCGGCATGAAATAAGGATAATGAAATAATCAATGACTAGCAAGTAAAAAATCAATGAACTTCAAAAAAGAAAGCCTGCCTGATTTTACTCGCAGAACATGATAAGGAAACCATAATTGAATATTTATAATAATTTAAAAACCACACCCAATATTTTTGCCAATCAACATACGAGAACTATTAATTAGTTATGCTATCTCTATTCTATTTTGTAAGATGAATTTTGAAGCAATTTAATATTTTAGAATATAAGATATTTTAAAAATTATTTATTAATAAAATTTATTTTAAAATTATCTCTCATTATTTTACTCTTTTTGATAAGATCATTATTTCACCCGTTAAATATATTTTTATCCCTTTCTCTTATTAAATAAAAGAATTTTTAGAAGTGCACAGAGAAATTAAAATTCTAAACTTTACTCGATTAATTGATTTTATTGGATTTGTAATTTTTATTGTAAAAAATATCTTATAAAACAAGACAAAAGGAGTACAATGTTAACATTAGGTAAAAAATAAGAAAATAACTCAAGATTTGTTTAATTGTTTAAGGGCCAAGCGTATCATCACGGGAACAAATTCTCGAAAGTTGATATCTATAACTCATATAAAATTTTCTGTCTATTCCTGAAAAAAAAAAACTTCAATAAAATTTACAGATTCTCAGAAAATTCATTCATAGTATGTCTTATCAGGCTAGGTAATGTGCATATAAATGAATAACATATTTTTTTAGTGGAAAGAGCAATTGACCCGATATGTCTAATTTTGTAATTTTTTATTCTACGGGCTCCCACTTTTTGTTGGTATATATTGTTGATATATCGCAGTGAACACCGAGTGGTCTTTACTTTACCAATGGATTCCCAGAGCAGTGTTCCTTCATCTTCATCATCACCAAAGAGGGTCTGGAAATATGATGTGGCTACATGTTGCAGTGATATGGAAACTACCTCGTTTTATAGAATGCTTTCGAATGCTTTAGGAAAAGAAGGTTTCAGAATGATCGGCAGCGGATGGGTTAACCCATTAGAAAAAATTGAAGAATCCCAGATTTACATAGTTGTCTTCTCAAAAAGTTATGTTTACTCACCAAGTTGCTTGAACACACTGGCAGTAATGTTTGAGTGCATGAAGGTACCGGGTCACAAATTTCTGCCAATTTTCTTCAACATCGATCCGTCTAAAGTGAAAACATGGCTAGCTCCATTTCAGACGCTACTGGAACGCCCAGATTTGGTCATACAAAACACGTAAGTAATTATTAACGTTCTGTTGGTTTACATGTTGTTGGATAAGGATATGATTCTTCACATCTCATCTCATATGATCATCTTCATGATCTCAATCAAAGAAATAGAGATGCAGCGGAAAGTTGTATATTATGTTTCCAAGACGCGCGCAGCACCTTCCCGGGGGAGTGAAGCCTCCTCCGCACTTGCGACGTGCATAATTAGGACCGTCTGCTTAATATTTTTTTTGTTTTACATTTTTCAAAACAAATTGTGAAAAAATTAATAAATATGTTCATCAATGTAGACAGTCCACATATATTAATTTTTTGTAAATTAACTTTTTAGATATATTGTAGATAATGCTGGTTTAATATTAAAATTTTATAAATTAAATGTGGGCCATTAATATTAAATTTAGATTGTTTATATTGGTGAATAAATTTATTAATTTTTTACAATTTATACAATTTTTTAGTTTTTAAAATGTGAAAGTAAAAAATTAAATCACAATTGTCCACATTAAAATCTCGATTGTCCAGATTATGCACATCCTCAAGGGAGGTGTGGAGGGAAGTTGACTCTCACTTTCCTTTATGCTTAATTTACCCCAACGCATTCCAATCTTCCGTGTAAATTGGGTTATTGATGAATTTCCTTCCAAATGCAATAAAGACTCTTGAATATAAATTGCATTTTCAAGACTCAATCCAAAAACAATAATAATTTTTACAAAATGATAATTTAACTTCATTTCTGGTACACTTAAAAGCAAAGGCAATAAGTTTTAATAGTTAAAAGTTTTGGATGATTAAAATGAGTGATAGTGAGGGGTATTTATATATAATAAAGTCACGCATCGAAGTGGTACATTTTAAATAATAAAACTATCTTTAAAAGTATATAGTCAATGTTTTGATTCATAACCCTTTATTAAGTTCATGAAAAATTTTATGTTAATTCATGAATATCCCTATGTTGGTTCATGTCTAATAATTAATATTAATCAGTGATTATTTAAAATAATTTTTCATAAAAATAACATCCCTTAAATACGTAGAGTTTTTTTGAAACATACATTTTCTTTCCTCAAGTGATAACTTTTAATTTAATAATCTTCCAAATGTGCATTCAAAATTTAGGGAGACATGACGTTGATGACCATAACTCTCTAAGTAACTCTTCATAAATATTTCTTAATTTATAGTAGCATAACTCCTTAATTAATAAGGACATGACTTTTAATAGAATATGATTTTTCAAAAAAAAAACATCTCTTTATTTTAAAAATATGTTAATAATATGTTGCAATGTGGGAATAATATAGGCTCAGATTTCTTCCGCATAATTTTTATCCTTGTTCTCTTATTTTCTCTAGGGAAGATCAAAGACGAGTTATTGGCAAAATAGCTTTGGAGGCAAAGAGAACTTTGGTTGAAGAAAAAGAGACGTGAGTTACGTTCTTTTTTTTTTTTTTTGGGGTATGAGATATTATCGTTCTGATCAGAACTCTTTGTTCATGCTTAAATTGATCAAACCACTTATTTATGTTTTCAGCAAGAGTAATAGAACAAAGGAAATAGACCAATTATAAAATTAACAAAGCCAGGGGTCGGATTTCCAGTTTTCATTCAAGGAGCGAGAGTTTTCCTCTTTGTTTACCATTTGAAACTACCCAACCAGCTTCTGAGAGTACTAATAATATTTATATTACACAAAGGTCTGGGAAGCAAGAATGGTTGAATGTTACTAAGAAACCATGGTTTCAGATTCGCAATGGATGTCCAGAGAACTGTATGGTCGTCATCCAAGGAGATATGCATGGGCGGCGCCACATATAAATCATGTGTGGCAAATGCACTCCCTGGACTTTAAAAAAATTACGAGGAGGGTTCATATGTTCTAATACTTTGCACCTTTTGAATCAAATATTTTGCAACCCTTAGCCCAACTTTAAAGATATTTGGGTTCCAAAAAAATTTATACTCTCTCAAAGTTAGTGGTGAGATTAACAGTTGCCACAACAATGGTAGAAAGAGAATTTTCTTTTATGAAATTTGTGAAAAATCAGTTGTGAAATTGTATAGAAAATCCATTGATGAATAATTATCTAATGATATATACTAAAAAAAGATATTTTTCTTAGGACAATGAGATAATTGTTTAACGATTCCATAACAAAGTACAATTGTTTTTTAAATTATTATTTTTAAATTATTAATTTTAAAAATGTTGCACCCTATGGCACAGGGTCCTAGCATCACCACTGGAGATATGGCCATGGAGCTGTGATGTGTTTGTATTGAATTTCATAACTGAGGAAAATTGCTCATTTGTTGAGGAGCTTCGCAATGCTCTATATAGATGTGGTCTAGTTATGGCTTCTCGAGATTCTATTGCTCGAGCTCCCTTGAACAACTACAAGCTTCGTGTTTTTATCGTCTCAAAAAACTATGAGGCCCAAACACCCTACTTGCAGGAACTGAACTCATGGAGAGGCCAGTTTCTATCAATTTTTTTGGAGGTGGATCCCTTTCAAGTACATAGCGGTTTTCATAAACTGCTTGAACAAAAGTTAGGACCATGTTCACTTCCCATACGAGATTTAGTGATTCAAGATAAGTACGACCTTCTTCTTTACTTGTTCTATGCGTATATTTAAATTTCTTCCTTTCAGAGCATTTTTAAGGGACAAAGTGAGGTAGAGAAAAGAAATAAATTGTGATTTAATTATCATTTCATCTGTCTTCTTTCCATATTTAATTACTCAATTTATAGAATAGTTCATTTTATATAAATTTAGGCAATTGATTTATATATTAGTGTGCAGACAATTTCATTTTCTTGGCAATCTTCATCAATAATTGACATCTGTTCACTTCATTGGTAGCACTAATTTTCTTTTCTTTCATTCATCTTACTCAGGAGAGATCAATCGTGGGTTATTCATAATATTGTTGAGAAATCTACCGAAACTTTTCTTCATAAGTTTCAGCGGCAAGTAACATAATTTTAGTTCTTTATGGTTCTTTCCCTACACATACTTGACCGTATCAAATTGATCAACTCCTTTCTTATGTGTGTATGCGAATAGAGAAATAAGATTTGAAATCTTATGAAACAAAATTACGAGTTAATTGAAATCTTGTTCGCACTCATACATATATGAAACAATAACTGCTAAATTACTTTTGTTGTTCTTCTCTTCTAAAGGATATCATGGCTAAAGCATATCAAAGAACTTGCAAAAGAAATAGATAAATCAGGAGAAGTAGCTGCAGTAGGGATAGGATATCGTCGTGTAGAAAAATTAATTGAGCTCATGGACTTAGGCTCAAAGGATGATGTGCGAGTTGTAGGGATTAGTGGGATGGGGGGAGTAGGGAAGTCAGCTCTTGCCGGAGATGTCTTAAACAAAATCTCCCACCGTTTTGATTCTGCCTATTTCATCTCCACTCCAACTACCGCTCAAGCTTTTCCCCCAAGTCAATCCATATTAAAGGAGGCATTTCTTCAGATAGCCTTGCCACTAAAATTTGGACTTTCATATTCAAGCCCAAGTCTCCATAGGATGCTTGTTGTTTTTGATGATGTTGAGTACTGGAAACCTTTCAATGGAGGATGGATTAGAGGGTTGTTTGGAGGAGGAAGTAGAATTATCATAACAAGCCGAGATGAGGGACTCCTTAGACATCTTGGAGTAGATGAGATTCACAAGGTAGAACTAGTGAATCAAAATGAAGCTCTTCGGCTTCTCTGCAAAATTGTTTTCAGAAGTGATAAACCAATGACAGGTTATGAGGAGCTGACCCTCGAAGCACTTAAATATGCTGATGGCCTTCCATTAGCTATTAAATCAGTAGGTTTATCGCTTGTTGATCAAAGTGTCTCAAAGTGGAAACGTGTGTTGACCAAACTTCAAACAGTTCCTGACGCTTCAGTACTCGCAGTGCTTAAGAAAAGTTTTGATGGACTCACAGGTTGGCAAAAGAATGCTTTCTTGGATATTGCATGTTGTTTTGCAGGACAAAAGATTGATTATATCAAGGGAATTTTATTTTGTCAATATCTTTTTAGATCTTTGCGTGATATGATAATCGAAAGTCTTATAGAAAAGTCACTAATAAACATATCAAGTCAGAGAATAAAAATACATCGTCTCCTACAACAATTAGCAAAATTAATTGTTCAACATGAATCTCCTGAACCTGGAAATCGGAGTAGGATATGGAATTATGAAGATTTTCGTCATATCATGGAGACAAATACTGTAAGTTCTTTTTACTTTAATAGCGTTAAATGTAAATTTCTAATTTCGCCTATAGTTATGTAAGTTGTTAGTTTAGTTCCTGAAATATCCCCCAACATAGATGAAATTATTGCAAAAGACCATGCTTATTCCTTCCGTCCTTAGATGTTAGGAGTTGATAGAGATGGTTAAAAACCCAACTAGAAGAGGGTTACTATTATATCTTTGATGAAAGAGGCAATTGATGAATAATCTGTGTCCCTGATAGGATGTTGTAATTGGCTTATCATCTTTATGAAAGATTTCATTTCTATTTCTTAAAAAGAAAAAACCATCTAGATGCTTGTGAACAGAACGTAATGACATTTTAGACAGTGTAGACATAATTAACTATATTAGCAAATGGCCCAATTCATGATTTTAACACAGCCTTCGTATTGATTTGATTTTAATTATTCTTTATAGATTATATAGATAACATATTTGTATTTTGGAAATTAGAATCTTATCTTATTGTGTTTATATATATATATATTTATTTATTTATATATTTATTTAGAGTTGATTAGTTTTGACTTTTTATATTTATTTATGCAATAAATCCATATTAATTCAGGGAACTAATCATGTTCGAATCGTAGTACTCTCAAATGATGAAGAGCATCCACGGCGGACAACATTGAACATAAAAGGTTTATCAAAATTGAGGAAACTCAAAATCCTTATATTCCACAATGTGAAATTTTTAGGAAATCTCTATGATCTTTCTAACAACTTGAGATATCTTTCCTGGCATAAGTATCCACTTAATTATTTGCCACCAAATTTTAAGCCAAAAAGGCTTGTGGAATTGATCATGCCAGATAGCAGCATCACACAACTATGGAGAGATAAAGAGGTATTGATAACATGTGTTCATTTATATCAATCAAAACTAAATTGATGATGATCAGTAAAGTTATACGCTGATTTTACTTTGTTGAACAAACCAAAATTTAATATTTCACAATTTCAGGCCTGTCTGATTTCTGTTTTTAAAAATAAAATAATTTAAAAATTTATTTGAATAAGTATTATCAATTTAGTTGTATTTAAAACTATTCTCCTTTTTTAAAAAAATAAAAACATTTTAAATTTGTTTTCATTTTATTTTTATTGTTTTCAAAATATATTATATTTAATTATTAAAAAGTGCAATCATTTTAATCAATTCCTATCATAAGCCACCGTTGTTAACAACTAGTGAGTAAATTTTTAATTATAAAATTGATTTTTAATAACACAACCAAATATATATTTTCTTTTTATTTTGTTTTGAAAAAAAGTTTTAAAATTATATTAAAAAAATAGTTTTTTAAAACAAAAATGACAAATGAAAACGAAAAAGCCCTAAATATCTCATTTTAATTCTTCAAAGAATATTTCTCGTCCAATATTTCTCTCATTAAGAGGTGTTGAAGTCTCACTGTCATTAAGATATTCCCATGACAAAAGTGTAATCATAGCACTTTTGGCGTTGACACTAATGAAGATGAAAAATTGTTTTGGATGCTTCGATTAAAAGTCTTGTCTTTGAATTTGATGCTTGTCTAATCTCCTATCCAGAAAGAGATGCAATACCTGGAGAACTTGAACCTCCGTGGCTCTAAAGATTTGATGAAGATCCCTCATTTTGGATTGCTTCCAAGTCTTGAGAGGTTAGACTTGGAAGGATGTACTTCATTAGTGCAGCTTCATCCTTCTATTGCGTATTTGACAAGGCTTAAGTTTTTGAATTTGAGAAACTGCACAAATCTAGAAAGTATTCCAAATGAATTATTTGGCAAAAGCTCTCTTGAATTTCTAAATCTGGCTGGCTCCTCCAAATTTGCTCAAAGTTTGAGGTTCAAGAGAGTAACATTAAGTTGGTCTTCTGTTAGAGTTACGTGCCTTTATCATGTTTTCATTATATGAATGCATCTCTTTCTTTGCATTCAGCTCTATCAACATGCTCATCTGCTACAACATTAATATGTAATATTTGTGTCTATTTGCGTCTGTTATGGAACATTTTTATTTTATAATTATATCCAATCATACATTATTTATGGTGTCTCAGATTTTGACATATCATTTTAATGAGATAGTCAACCACATATATTCGGCAAACACACTAGATTTGGAGCTGATGAGGTAGATATTACGTCATTTAGTCCCATGTTACAGTTTATTTCTATAACGTAGATTTTTTTTTTCTTAAAACTTGGTATAACAAATTGAATTATGCTTATATTATGTAATTCAAAAATAAATCTAGATGTATAACGACCGAAAAGGATATAAATTTTATCATACATATTTGTGTTTCATTTTATATCTTTAAAGAAAAATAGTATTAAACTTTAAACTAAATTTAAAAATAAAGGAGTGAATATATAATTAAGAAGTATTATTTGTAAATTTTAAAAACTGAAATAAATTAACTGTTGGTAAAATATACATACATATATATATATATACATATATATATACATATATATATATATATATATATAAATTGCATTGAATGCACCAGCATTATAACTCATCCTAACCTTGATAAGAAACAACTATCAAATTATTGAGACATGTTGCACTTGAACCCACCTTCCTCCAATTAAATTTGAGAAACCGCACAAGTCTGATGATTGGCATTTCAAATGAATTATTTGATCAAACCACTGTTCAATTTCGTTGGCCAAGAAAATAGACCTCTCTAAAATTTCCAAATCCAGCTGGTTGCTCACAATTGCAAGATGCCTGTGATAATAATTGACAACATTGCCTCCTATCCCACTAATACGATAGTTAGTTTTTCTATTAAATGTCCAACTTACAGTATTTTAAATTTGAGATTGAATGTATCTTAAATTTGAGTTTTTAAGTGTTTCTTGTATTGAAGAATGGTTTTATCCATTTAATGAAACTATGAGCACAAAATCATCTACCCAAGGCAAATTTTATTGTGGCGGTACGTCTTTAAGCCAATGGAATTGAATGAGTTTCAGTTAGCTCGCAACTACTTCACTTTAAAAAACTGAAGTACGTCAAAAAAAAAAAAAACAAAGAAAGAAAAGAAAATTACCAAATTGACATTCTCTGAAATTAAATTCACTTCCTCTGCTCAGTGCAGAGATCATGAAAGACTGCATTACAAGGAGTCTCCCATCTTCATAAGTAGCATCATCCTAATAGATTTGATAAAACTGCCACCCCCAAAAGCTCAATAACATTGTTGAATAAATAATATGTAACAATCAATCTGAATATGACATGCCTGCAACATTAGAAACCCTCAATATCTCCACAAATAACAATGAGTCCTAAAACGTATAGTTCTAAAATGACCTTCATGAATGGGTGAAAATCTAGAAGCCCAAAGGAAAGGATGTACAGTGACCTCGATAAATGTCCCATTGCAGAGGGAAGAGGTGAAGGTAGAGACTCTAGATGACGATGGAGGCTCCTAAATGATTCACTACGTTTTTAGCCTCTTCTCAGCTTGATCTGTATCTTCTCCGTTTCCAGCATCTCTAAAATGTGGTATTGCTAGATTGCTAGATGGGATATTATCATGATGCTAGACAACAAATTGAAATATTTGCCTCAGAAAGGTAGAGGAGCAAGTAAATACTGGTTTTACATGTAAAACTAGGAGTGTTGTTGGACAATTTGTAGGATCCTCCAGGTAAAAATTTGACTATTGAAGAATAGACTCACCATTTTTACCTTTCTTTTTCCCCTTCTATATTTTTCCATTTAAAGGTGAATATACTCATTTGATTAACCATTTCAATTTCAATGAAATGCTTAATTATATTAACACTCCCTGATCCAGTCCTAGTGCTACTTTGGGCAGTCACAACTAACAATCCATCTCCATATAGTTGAATTTACATTTCTTTCTGTACATTATTTGGTTCTGTAAGTAACATAATGACCATAGGACTACAAGAATAAGAAATTAATATGATCAACCACATAAGATTAGTTATTTAAATATGCTACTTATCACTTTCTGATCAACTGCTCCTATTACATATGATGGAACCCTCTCCTCTAATAAATTTAAAACAAGCAAAAATCAGAAAAATAATTTTTGATTACAAGGACAATGATGATTCACGCCAAACTCATATCCCTCATACACTCCTACACTTAAACTACAGTTACAGAGACAGCACAAAATACTCTCACGAACAGTAACATGGACATAAGCCATGCCACTCACAAACTCACCAAGCAGTAAGATAAAATGATGAAGAAAGGTGACTTCTTCCGCCCCAATACACTGGACTTTTGACTCACCAATCTTAGAATTCAATATAATCCCCCCCTCATGCACGAAAGGAAGGATTTAAAGGCCCAAAAAGTTACGAAAGGTTGAACATAATCCTAGCAGAACCTAATCCCTATTCATACATCACTTTTTCCCCCCTGTGGCCAGGAACCTTTGGGTAATATAATTATTTATTCTCTTTCCTACACCATTTCCCTTCATACAGACTATGTTATAGGCCCTAGGAAATGATATATAAATCTGTTCTAATTCTTCAGCTCTATCAACATATTTTTAGCAAAGCCATATTGCAATGAAGCATGAATAAAAAAACCTTCATCTCCATATAGCTAAAATCTATGCATACTTGAATTTATGTGCCATTATGGGGGTAGAGAACTGCATCTAAAGTACTTGAGTCTAGTTTCAATTTGCCTTCTTTATTTAAAGATGCTCACCAATTTGTTACCAAGTTTGATAGATGTCAAATGACAAGGAACATTTTTAGGAGACATGAGATGCTTCAATCAGGAATTTTAGAAGTGGAGTTGCTTGATGTCTAGGGTATGGATTTCATGGCACCATTTCCTTCTTCTAGAGGAAATCAATACATACTTATTGTTGAAGAATATGGGAGCAAGTGGGCAGAGGTTATAGGTGTGTCAATCAAATGATGGTAATACTATGATCTGACTTTTTAAGAAGAACATATTTACCAGATTCGGTACTCCTAGAGCCATTATTACTTATGAGGGTACTCATTTCAACAACAAGTAATTTAAAGCTCTCTTGTCAAAGTATGGAGTCCTCCATCGGATGTCCCTTGCTTATCACTCACAAACTAATGGTCTCTATGAGCTGACTAACAGAGAGACCATGTAAATACTTGAGAAGATGGTGGGTCCTACTAGAAAAGATTAGTCGAACAACCTTGATGATGCTTTATGGGCCTACCGCCCAGCCTTTCAAACTTTGATTGGGATGTCATCATACCATTTGGATTTTGGGAAGGCACACCACTTGCCTATTGAATTAGTGCCTATTGAATTAGAGCATAAATCTTGATGGGCGATTAAACAATTGATATAGACCTTAAGAAAGCTAGTACTTTAAGGATATTGCAATTGAATGAATTAGAAGAGTTTAAACTCTATGCTTTTGAAAGTGCAAGACTTTATAAGGTGAGGATTAAGAGATGGTATGAATGTGATATCCTCAATAAAATATATAAATATATTATTTAGAAATGAATTAATTAATGTTATGGTAAAACATATATATATTATAATAATGAGAGAAATTACTTAAGATCTTAAAGGATGTGGATATTATCTTATAGAGCTATATCAGATAATGATTTAATATTTCAAAAGCATTTAAAATGATTAAATTTAATTTTTTTTCAATATATATATATATATTTTTTTTTTTATGAAAACCTAAACCTAAGATATTTCCTTCTTCCTCTGGCACCCCGTAGTGTAATCAGATTTCTCCTACTACTCTTGTGCTCTATAGGTTCGCAACTTCCTTCCTTCTCCTTTCTTCAATTTCTTCAATATTTGTCTTGTAGTTACTCTATCTCTCTCCCCTTGTTTTGTCTTCTTCCTCTTTTCATAATTTGCTTGTACGAGACTTGATTAGAAATCAATAGACACAATGATACTTTCTTTTTTATTTTTTTTATTCCTTCCTTCTCTAAATCCTCAATCGGTTCAAGCCAAAAAAAATAATTATAATAAAAATAAAAGAGAGTGCATAGATTTCACCCATTTACTTCTTGGGTTTCTTTCTTTGTTTTCTTTATTAAATTTTATCCGGTTAAATAGGTTTCTTTATGTATGTACAAATACATCATCCATTTCTTTCTTGGGCATTTTATATATGTGTATGTTTACATGCGCATATAGCCTTCGCTTGCGTTTTTATAAAATTTTTCCTTTGATCAAGCCATTATAAAAATTTTCGTTCCAGTGTGATTATTCTGTTTCTCTTGAAATTTAAATTTAAAATAGAAAGGCAGTACTATAAAATCTATTTCAATTCTTGGATTTGAAATTTTAATTTTCTACCTGTATAAGATAAATCCTATGCTTAATTAGTATTACAGTAAATAGGAAATTATTAACTGCTTCTAGTTGTATTAAGAATTTAGATGAAATCAGGATACATTTAATTAAAGATAAGGGAGGAATTGTGGTTCTTGAAAATTCATAATGATCATATAAAAATTATCTATAGGTGATGACTTCTCAGCTGGTGTTAAGTCTTAGAGTGGCTAAAAAAGGGATCTCTACTAACGATCCTAATAGGTGAGTGTATGAATAGCAAGGTGGCACATTTTTTTTTCCACCTTCACTATGTTTTATAGTCTTAATTGTTTCATTTTCCTCTGGTTCAATTGGGAAGCAAATTACAAATGTTTATTTTTATGTTCAATGATTCCATATCATAAGAAATTGTGTCAGGTTCTAACTTTGGTTAATATTTTTTTATTTAACAATTTAAAATTTATTGAAAGCAAAGTAAGTGTTGATGATTATGGGTATATATATTTTAGTTTAAGAGATACTTATATATGTTTTTTTTTCTTTTCTCAATTCTTTATAATTTTCCCTTTACCGTTAAAATCAATTATACTTCCAATTTTTATGCTTTTGAAAATGCAAATTGATTTATTTTCAATAAATGAGTTTTTAAGCCATTGGT